ACGCGGTATTGAAAATTCATCTTAGAACGTTTTCAAATTCAAAAATCAATATCCCTTTCAATTTATGAACATTTATCGAATAGCAAGCCATATTTTGTTAGTTTATTTCAGAAATCTCTCAAATGCACTCAACATCATTTACATCACACACTATGGTTGTGAGTATCTTGTTGTTGTATGGAGTTTCGAACTTCATTAACGAATCACAAGTTGTTTCTCTCACACTTTTGTCAGTTTACTATCCAAAAGATATACAAGTTTCGATAAAAAACTCATTTTTTTCGTGATACGTCAGATAACATTCTCAAATGTTGAGTTATTGATGTCAACTGATCAATTGGAGAAGGAGAATATACCTACCCACACAAATGTGTGCATGAGGAAATAGGTTCAGGAACCAGAGTTATTGAAAGAATTCGTATCAGTGCCTAACACACAAAGTCTGACTGAATATAATTAAAAACTTGATCGACTTACCGGAAAGAAATATAAGTATAAATATTTCAAGCACTGACTTTCGTAAATAACTACTCTCGTAATATCGTAGTACCGTTGACTTTGGTATATTTTCATCGTTCAGTATGACAAAAATATCACTTCCAGATGATGGAGGCAATATTACCTACGATCTAAAAAATAATATTCATCTCGTTCCTGATGCAACTTCATATATTTTTTTAATATTCATTCCTGAACAAGAAACATACATCAGAGTACTCTTGTAAGGAACTAAACACAGAAAAAATAAATTATAAATCAGCTAAATTGAAACCATCCTTTACAAATTCTGAAAAAATTTTGGCTGTGAGTCTATTGTGACATTTCATGAAAACTTGATGATTTCTTTCACGGTGTTGTTTCAATATCCATACCCTGCTTCATGGCAGATGATATGGAGGCATGTATTGTAGAATAGCTAGTAAAATGGGTGATGCAACTGATTGCTTCGGGATGCTTCGTTTATCTTAGATATTTTATTATTGAATCTTCTACCAATCAGACAGATGGCGTAAGGGTGGATGTACACTTACTCTGGCTGGTCCTTTGAGGACATTTGGGCCCAGTGATATATTTTTGATTCAACCTAGCATCACTGATGAGTCAAAAACTATAGTGAGTCGAAATAGCGCTGCCTGTGGTTAGAACATGAATAATTGTTTTTTTAAGCTCTTAATTCAACTAATTTCCACGGTTATGGTTTAGCTTTGAACTGACCCCAATGGGGAGCCTGAGATACACAGATCTGAGTAAGGTTGAACCAATTTTTCGAGAATTATTCTAGTTTTCTGTTCTGTGTTATGGAATTTTCAGCTAGATTGCTTGTCCGTCCCATCCTTGTCGTAATATCAAATACGAATATGTGAATTTCTCAAACGTATCAAAGAGACTACCTGAATTTCAAAACCCATGTGTTTGTTTCTCATCGCATACTGGCAACCCAGTCCATTAGGAATTGTCACTGTGTATTTCTTGTACTCATATTCAAAAAAAGAAATGAGTTCGAATAAAATGCACCCTAACGACCTTACGTAACTCCAGTTTTCAATTAAACTCTCAACGAAAGCTGAAAAAATATTTTCTGATCTGACAGAGGTCTACTCACAATAAATATTTCCGACATGCTTTTTGACGGCATTACCAAACATAAATCATGCACATGATGAGGGTAATTTTCATTGATTTTTCCAATACACCAGAAAAATATTATGGTATATCAGTTCAGAAGACATTTTCTCAACTTTTGTGAGTTTCATCAAGAACATTCATGATTCATGAAACAATCAGGTAGAATATTTGCCTTGAGACTACTAAATACAAGAAGAGGTGAGTTGAAGAAAATATGGCCCATTTGTCAGTAACTGAGAAAATGGGATCTAACTGAATATCTCACCTTTTGTTTTTTTGAATGTATTGATGTTTTTTTATAGCTGTCGAGCTATTTTTGTGAATTATCACCCAATTACGCAGAATGCCATTTTACAATGTGAATCCCCGCTAAGTTCATAGTGATATTATATTTCGTGGATAGCTTGTTGAGAGTTTAATGAAATTTCTCGTTCATATTGTGCCGTGTAAAAAATATGTCTGGGAAAGTGTATGTTTCTTTCATATGAGGTTGAAGAGAAATTATGGTGGGCTTCATGTCCCGTTTTCTTGAAATATGGAAGTAATACGACTAATAGGTGCTCTTTCAATATATCAAGGTTAAAAAAAATGTATTAAGAGTAATGCTTTTATTTTCAGTAATGCTGGTATATTCTCAGTAAAGTAAAATGTTGAAGAGAAGGTGAAACAGCCATTTCAGCATGATGTACGTCCTTTTTTAGGTCATTACGAAGCCGTTTCGGAGGACGGAAAAATTTGTCTAACTGCGAGACCGAAGATTCGAGGACTAGAATTGAGTACGAACAAGTGGAAAGAGGAAGGTGATACGAAAAACTATCACTTTTTTTTCTTATTATTAATGAATAACTCAAGTCGTATTTGGATTAATTGCACATAGTCGTAAATTTTTCAGAGAGTGACTTTTCAAAGGAATCACATTTATACAGCAAAAGCCTATATACACAAAAAAATCAATGGCGCAATAATTGTTCAAATTGGAGTCCTTTCATTTCGAAACATATAATGGGCCAATAAGATGGCCTGCAAGATCACCAGATCTTGCTCAGAGCAATAGAAAAAATATGAACAGGTACCTAAAAATTAAAAAAAAAACAACTCTCGAAAAACTCTATGGTACATAGGGAGACGTGGAAATTGCTATTGTGTTTTTATTCAACTCAGTCAACCAACTTCCAGGGGATAATTCCCACAATTATAATCAAATATTACCGAAACATCCAGGAATATGAAATTGAATTTAATTGCTCAGTATGAAGTGAATGTCGACGAAACAAAAACTACAACAAAAAATAGAGGTGCGTATTTAAAAATTCAAAGATGTGGGTGGCTCAAGTCAGATGACACATTAAGTGCCAATATCGAAACATGGACAAATTTCCAATATGCCTGCGAATAAAGAAGATATAGGCAAAAAAATTATTTGGGATTTTTCGGTTTTTCTGTATATCTCCAAAACCAAAAGAGATATATTCGATTTTTTCTCATCATTGAATAGATCTCTAAAATACGCAACTTTGCCACAATTCAACCGACATTATATCTCTTATCGTTTACGAGATCCCCATGTACAGAAACGAATTTGAATAGCCCTGTATATTCAGGAAGGTGCAAATGAAAAAACCTTTTGGACTTCATTTTTCATTTTTCTCGTTCATAATCCTATCTTTCTGTTTAATTTTCAACAACCCATCTTATCGAAAATTCACAAAATGTAGTCATGAATAATAAATTCATCAGAGACGTTGTTTTCCATCCCATGTATCAATAATGGTGAGTACCATCAGTAATTACCTGTTTATTTTCATCCTCATTTTGAATCAATAAAATCATCAACGCAGCATACGCCATCTCATAGTTAGAAGACGAGTTATATGCCTTGCTTGGGGACAGTTCTGAATATGAACATCATTATGAACAGGGTATACTTCTTGTTCTGTAACTATTGACATTCACTCCCAAATTTTATTCGAGTTCTCCTAATGAAGATTTATTAGCGTTAGATAAGTATCGGATGCTCAGTTATGTGATTATACTGTTTGTGATTATATTTGTAATTTTCATGAAACAATTTATATATCGACCTTTTTTTATTTGTGAAAAATACTTTGATTTTTCGCAGTAACTTATCGGGGTAAACTAAAAAGTTTGCCCTTCTACACTTGTATAAAGTTCTCCATTATAATTTTTATATTTCTTCAGATTGTGGAAGGTAACAATTACCCAAAAGAAGGTCGATAAAAAACTGATTTTTTCCTCCACAAAAAATGAATTTCGTTGAAAATTTATATATCTTTATGAAATATGTTTACCATCCTGGTAATTATCTTGGAATTGAGATTTGAATCTGTGTTCATCAGCATTATTCTGAACATTCGAATACTCATCTGAAACTTTTCATTAAATTCGGATATCTGCTGCAATACTGCAATTTTGTACAATGCATTTGAAGAATTTCTGTTTGAATATCGACCGCAGATATTTCAAAGGTTGAATTTGGTTGATATGGATTCGTGATTTACATAGTATTCACACATTGTTCATGAACTAAATTCCTGTACATTGGTATACAGTGTGAATTACTCAATTTCAAGTCTTAAGTTTTACATGGCGATTGATGAGGTTATAACATGATATGTTTGCCCTTAACCCATTGTTACTATTTCATGAACCTGAATATACCGATTCCACAAGTTCAAGCATTTCTTACTCATTCTGCGGCCTTCTCTTATGTTGAGTGAAAGAAGACTTCTTTGTTTTGTGGAACGAAATATGTGGAACATATTCCTGGCTGCAAGCTTCAATAATCCACCCAGTTTGGTCATTATTTGTTAAAGTGTAGGAGCAATTTTGAAAGACACGAATCTGTCAGTGTATTCTGGTTCGTATGAAAAACTTTTGATTTTTGAGACTTTGTGTTTTCTAAAAATCGATGATTCACGAAAATACTCTCTATCTTAATTGATTGAGTAAAACGAACCCCTCAGGCTAACCAACCGGTTCCAAAACTTGCAAAATTCAACTACAGACCCTGGAACAGGTGAAACTGAATAATATTTTGTAGAAATGAATGTCATATTACACGTCGAAGAAAAATTAAAATATTTCCTCCAACATTGAGGTGAATGTGGTTTCCATCAGGTATTTATATGAGACTGTTCCATCATATTGTTACGTTTTCCCCATGAGTTTGATTGTAATTGAATACAATGTATTATTTTCTTCAGGGCATGATTCACAACAATATGTAGAATTAGGGTTATCTATATGACATACTTCAACACTGGTCATAATCAGATAATGAAATATTTGAATTTTTGTTTCCATGCTTTTATCAAAATCTTTTCATGTTGAATTCTTGAATGAAACTAAATGAATAGGCAAAAATAATATATTCATTCATAGTAATAAATATGTTACAAACCACTTGATGAAGCAACAAGAGTAGACAACAACATTGTCAATGAATTTGGTATAATAAACATAAAATATATTCATTTTTGGTATAATAGCGACATCATTCGAACACCATCAGCACTTCCAACCAGAAACTTGGAAATGGTTCAATTTTGAAACAAAAAAAGCCAGAAATGTTAATTTCAGAAATCGTATGAATCTGATTCTCCCTTACGAACTTTGAAAAAGATCTTATATATGATTCCAGCAAATACAGCTCCCACAATTGGTCCAACCCAGTAAACCTGTAAGTAAAATATTATATTCATTATTCATCAATATAAACAATTCTCTCATTTCCATCTCGTGAATAAAAGAGACGTTTGAATAACTTTTGCCAGCCAAACGGCAGCATGATGTCTGGGGTGGAAATATTTTTAGAATTTTTCACATAGCGTTCGAGGGTTCTATCCATACAGGATATTGGATAGTTTTCAGGATATTTAAAAATTTTCCGCATCTCATATAGACATCTTTATGTATTTGACGATTGGTTTCTTTCACAATTTCACTATAGGTAAATTTGGTATAATTTATTTTTCACTCATTATGTCTCTCATATATCATTTGTCAGTGATAGATTTTCACATTGAATTGAGTTCATCAATTCATTTATTCTCAATTTGAGGAAAGCTGAATCGGAATTTCTCCTAGATTGATAATTTTTGGAAAATATATCAAAAATATTTTATAGTTGAATCATTTTGAAAATCAGTACGGGTAGTCTTAATGTAATTGAAATGACCCTCTTATTCCAGTGAATTGAAATAAATCTATAGTTAATGAAAATTGTGTAACCAGAAAAAGTATGATCAAAATCATAACTCCAATGTATAGTCTTCGAATTTTTTGTTCGACATCGGATATCCTAAGTATGCTGAATTATCTGAATTATCATTGAAACCTTGATGAATGTGGGCAAATACAAACATATATGGTAACCTATACTTAACTGATGATTCTTTCGTTAAAAACAGCAGAATTCCAGCGATAGCGATATCGTTATTTTCATACCATGTAAAGGTTTGTTAGAAATTGAAAAACAGCAGCTATTTCGTTTCATGACTTCAATTTCATGCAACGGTTCCATTAATACTCTTTTGTAGTTTGAAATGAGCATGGGATAGATTCATTCAATACTCTGAACACTCTGAAACAGTAATAAAGCTAGCTGCCTTTGCGAACGGCTCAGATGAAATATTTGCAAAGCTAATTGAAGAGCGGTGGTGGTAATCTCAGAACAAAAACTTTTTCTTCGAATGCTTGTACAAAATAGTTATTTAATTATATAGATACAATATTCACGTTATGATGTATACTGCGAATGTCCCAAATGATTTTACGCCCAAAACTTCAGTATAAAGAACAGAGACATTCGCGATACTGGAAATCATAATAAATTCGAGGTGTACCTGGTAAAAACTAATTCGAAGTAGACCTTAGTTATGCTATCCATGTCAAAATATAAATGGTACTGAGGCATTATCATATATCGTCAACCGAGTATCTGGCCAACATAGGTACCTACCTAAGAATTCTCGTAGTCCATAGCTCAACCCCAAGTGCTAGATATTACCAATAAGGTTTATATGAGACGTAAAGAAATTATATATAAGTTCTACATTCGTGAGAAAGTTTTTCCAGAAATGGGCTGTGTTTCTTTGAAAGAAATATTATTCAGATAACTGTTGTATACAGGTTACAGCGCGATAACCGTCGATTAGCCGTATTTTACTAGGTATTCGGCTCTCGAGTGATTTTCCCATAAAATTCAAAGGTTTGAACATACATGAGTACATCGAGCTGTACTCTGTATACTCTATCATATCCTATTCAAAACCGATGAGAAACAAAATGAAAGACAAATGATTTCATCGACATTTCATCCAGACACTGCATGTTCCACAATAAGACGTAAGTTTCAGTGATTTTTGGGAAAGAAAGTTTTTGGCTTTCTACCACTCCATCTTGATACAAAAAACAAGGATGAGGGAATCTTTCCAAGGAAAGGAAGGAAGTAATCAATACAAGTAACTCTATACAAAAAAAAAACTTTCTTTCCCAAAAATTAATCACTCCTAAAAATATAACCCCTTCAATTCAAATGTTTCAGTAATGTTTAAAACAAACTTCTGAGGCTGAAAAATTCACTTCGAAATTCAAATACCGTTTTGTTGTTCCCACGTGTGAAGGTTCTGCTAACACCACCCGTTATCATACTTGACATAATACTTCAGTTATATAATATTTTTTCATTTTGGTCTTTGAATTCTATCAAATTAATAGAAAGAACTTCCGGCTCTTCATTAATCTTATTTAGAAAAGGTGGTAGATCGATTCATCCTACAAAATCATTATCATCATCAGAATCTTCAGTAACAGGCATCGCCGCGTTCTCATGTTTTCCATCTGTTGAGTCTTTATCGAATCCTTCTTTATTTTCACGATATTTTTCTTCTTTATACTTTTTTTCTTTCTCTCTCTATCTGTCTAGTTTCCACGGCGATCTTTTTGTGTCCGTGGCGATGAAATTTTCAGCTTTTTCTGTCTTCTCTCTCTGATTTTTTCGTTCTCCAGCTTTTGGGTATCTTTTGAATTCTTGCGGACTTACGAAAGTTTCTATGCTTCAATATCGTGTAGGAATTGTGTGTAAATCAACAGATGCTGAGAGTAAGGGGGGTGACATAATATTTTCTTCAATGAAGCTTGATGTTGATGGTTGATTTGGATCTATAAGAGGTCGGTCTTCTTCATTGTTTCGATCCACATTCCTATCAGTTACGCTACTAATTGCAGAGTCGTCATATACAAATATGAATTCATCGAAAAGATGAATTCCAGCTTTTTGAAATCCAGATTTCATATTAGCTGGAGTCATCGATTTTTCAAATGCACAATCAAAACAACCCCAAGGATATCAAACATAGAAACGGGTATCCCAGGTTATTTTAAAAGCCATGAATGTAAGACAGTGATGTGGAATGATTTGAACGCATGATTTCAAAAGCTGCGACCATCTAATGGTTGCAGCTTGTTGGAATTATGCTGTGGTAAGGTCAAAATGATCACTTTATTTTTCTTCGCTAGATTTATTCCTTCTATCGTCAGGTGACTCTAGTGATTTTCAAACTGAAAAGGGTTTCCTTTTGTGCTGGACGTATGTTCAATGGAGTGCCTTACAACGCTCGGAAACAATTCACGAGTCATCCATCCAGAATCTGAGACCAATCCCAAAGTACGATACCAGATTGTTCTTGTACTACTAGATCCAAAAGGAAAATTAGGGATTATACTATCAAATCAAGGATAGTGAAACTCACCTAGGAAAGCACATTTTTATTGAGAAATGCACAAATCCAAAAAAATAGCGTTCCAACTTTGTTTACCAAAACTGCGTGTGTAACCCTACTAACCGAACGAAAAACATCGAACTCGTGGTTGAAATTTCGAAATTACATGCTTTGTGTGATTGTGGAACATGTCTGATTGTGGAACATGTCTGATTGTGGAACATTTTATTGGAACATTATGATTCAGTGGGCAAAATGTTCCGGTTAGATTATGAGAACGGAGATTTCTTAAATTTGTTTATGGTCTATGGTTGATGTAATTGAAGTATCGACCAAACATGTAGCTTATTTATCGGAAGTCATCCGGAAAAACTAAAATCAATCACAATCTGGTAAATACATTGTTGAAAAATTGTTAGAATCATGCATCACTAATTCCGGTGTAAACGGAAGAGTTCGGAAAACGCCATCATTTCCATTCAATGAATAAAAATTTTCAGGATATGACTCCAACCGATCGTCATCGAGCTGTACTCTGTATACTCTATCATATCCTATTTAAAACCGATGAGAAACAAAATGAAAGACAACAAGGTCGAAAATTACAAACGGAACACCGAAGTCTTGTCAATGTTGAACCTCAATCAGAAGAATAATAATTGTAGTCTCGGTTCTCTGGATAAAACTGGAAACATCGAGCTGTACTCTGTATACTCTATCATATCCTATTCAAAACCGATGAGAAACAAAATGAAAGACAATAAGGTCGAAAATTACAAACGGAACACCGAAGTCTTGTCAATATTGAACCTCAATCAAAAGAATAATAATTGTAGTCTCGGTTCTCTGGATAAAACTGGAATAGGTACAAACTTGAATCAAACTAAGTACAATATGGTATGAAGTACCTAGTGAAATATTAAATGAAGATTATGAGGGAAACGTGTATACAAAACTGTGAAAATCATGGATCTATAGTAGAACGACAATTGTCTACCTACCCAATGATTTTCCCAAGAGTTCATCATCACAGCTGGTCCAAAAGTTCTGGCAGGATTGATACTGGATCCGGTAAATTGTATCTAAAACATATCAATTATATTAAAAGTGTATCTCATTTTATCGATTTCAAACCAAAATTGTATAATTCGAGTTTTCTTCCAAACATGAATTGTTTTCAATATTTGGTATAATATGAAGAACCTACCCCACATAAATGAGCGGCGGTAATAGCTAATCCTATGGCAAGAGGCGCAGAACTTTTGATATCTTTTCTCATAGGGTCACATACAGCTTGAATCACGAAGAGTAAAAGGAAAGTTAGTATTATTTCCATAAGAAGACCTTGAGTAGGGCTTATCTGTTCGCTAACAACGGTGAGCCCTAGATTACCAACTTTATTTTCTGGAACAACAGTCTGAAAGAACATATTTCAAATAAGGTGTAAGTTTGTAACTGTGATACGCCTTTCGTTGAAGGAAATCATCAAATACACTCATATTGATATAATGTTTGTTATTAATATGAAATGAAGATTACTTACACTAAGTAATGCCGAACCTCCTAAAGCTCCAATGCACTGAACCACTATGAAGAAGAGAGCTTTCAGGAACTTGATGTCTCCTGTTACAAAGAAACTAACTGTTACAGCTGGGTTGATGTGGCAACCACTAACATGTCCAATAGTCTGTAAAAAGTATTGTATTAGCTTTTTTGAAATACATTTTCTATTAAATGCGTTTATGATAAGTTTCAACCAATTTTTCGGCAAGTTTTTTTTTTGAATCTTTGAATTGAGAAAACTTTGCTAGAATGGAAAAAGTCAATTTCAAACATATCGAGAACCCATATTTTTTCGAACTTTAAATTCAAAATATTTCCTCATGAACAATCACAAGCACACGAAAATCTTTGAAGGGGTTTGAGAACTGTACCTGTGTGAAAGTGTAGATCGTCCTTAGAATGAGGTAGCTGTTGATTATATACATTCTAGAAAACATTTTGGAAAATTCATTTTACAGCTACTTTGTTCAACGAATCAAAACGTTCTCAAGAAGTGTTCGAAACAGTTGAGTTGTACTTCAAAGCAAAGTACAGCTGCATTTTGTCGCGTACTCCGTACATATTACTCTTTGGATGGAATGACAGGAAATCTCTCATTATCGGCATAGATAAGCATTTGTGGGTGTAATTCGGGCATTGAAATTGTAAAATGGGGCAAGTGTGCCCCCACCAGTATATGAAAATATTGTATTTGTTTTATGTTCCAAGAGAAAAGATGAAATAGATGCTTGGAATACATCAGATTAAATGGTGACAGTTCTCAACAGAAAACCGTCGATGACCACCTGTTAGGAAAAACAGCCTGCTCTTCCTTTGTATTTGATGGACTTTCTTTGGTACAATTACAGGTCTTGGTCGTTTCCAACAATTCATTTATAGATGCCATAGTTTTTCGCAGTTCGAACAACTTTGCGAAAAATCCTGTGTCTCAGACACAAGCTCAATCTAGAGACTGTTGATGAATTATCTATCGATCAGAATCAGTTATGACTCATCACTTTGTAATAGCGTTCAGCAATGGGAAGTACACAATGCGTCACATCTTCATAAATATCTCCAGGAAAACGTGCTTTCAACTTTGGAAATCTATAGATTATAATAACATTACGTTAAATTTCTTGCCTCGAATGTTTCTACTACATTTTCAAGTGATTTTTCATTTCGCATTTCTCTGTATGGATGTTCTCATATCAAAGAAAGTTTAACTCTTCTTCCATTCTTGTCACTCTTCCATCCTGCAGTTTATTGATATATTTATTCAATATATTATCAGTGATTCACACATTTTGTCAAATGAATTTGTCTTTTGAAATTATTTACAATCTCATTTGTTCTGTATTTCAGCCGTTTCTCAGTACAACTATGTCAAAGCCAATTTCACTATATTTTGCGTTATTTGAATAGACAATAATGAAGTACGCCTGTAACGTACAAAATAAGAGAAATCAAAAACAATAATACGATAAAACAGACTCAGAAATTTCAATTCAACTAAGGATGAATGAAATGAATAGTTGGAAACAGGATCAATGTCACCGCTTCAATGAGTGAGAGTCCTTTGATATAGAGGCCTAATGAATAAGTTAAACAATTAATACAATACAAAAATGTAATTTCTTGGCTATTAGCCCATTTTGTTTTATATAAGTCAAATATTACAAATGTGCCATGTACTCATTTTGATACTTCCTGTTGCCTGAAAAGTGAGCACTGATGATGACGAGAGTCGAAAGCGCTTTGCAATAATTTTATAAACCGTTTCCCCTTCTCCTTGGCTGCCTCACGGTGCTCTCATCATTATTGTTATACTCGTATCTTCTCTGATCTGAAATGAATTATAATAATAATAATGAAGTCCAAACCTTCAATGATCATCATTTGAGTCATTCTTCTGTTTTGAAATAGTCCTAAATTTCATTTGCGATATACAGTGCGGGAGTAAAATCTTCCATTTCTCCTAACTTTTGAACGAGACACGATACCAAGATCAGACAAAGTTAAGGTGAAAAGTTTCAGAAAATAGTTCATGTGCTTCGCGGCCCAAAGGGCTTCACAATTTTTTATTTCGAATAGATGGGGGGTCAGACAGAAGTCAGAGAGAAACACATCATTTTCAGTATTTTTCGTTGGGAAAGACAAAGAGTTCCACATCACTTGCAGCCAAGGGGACGCTCAATAGTTTTTCAACTGAAAAGGGGTTTTTTTGATACCTCGTTTGATAAGTATTTCAATTCTCGACAATGTTTCACGTTTAGAAATCACATCAGTCGTTCATAAATAATTATTTGTTTCGTATTCGTTCTAAGAATCTGCAAATAAACCATGAATATTATACGTAAAAAAAGTTTTGTCGTTGTAAGCAACTCTTTCTAATCGAAAAATTGTTTCAAATAAACTGCAGTAGCGTATCGCTAACGTTGATTCCATGTATCCCTTCAAATGCATTTGTAGGCGTCACATCAAGTGATCTAGCAGGCCATTCTGAAAGACGACATTCGCCAATCCACTGGATTGAACATTTCCAAATAAGTAATTTTTGAACCAGCTTATCGTATAAGGGTTTGTCAAATACCAAACCGGCATATAGGCAAAACTAGTCTCTCAGAATGGCTTTCGAAATTACTTCTCATCACGCCTCTAGATATTTTTGAGGAATTCAAAATTTAAGTGAAAGATATAGAACCTTTCATTTCAGAACTTGCATATTGTATAAGGGTTTGTCAAATACCAAACCGGCATATAGGCAAAATTAGTCTCTCAGAATGGCTTTCGAAATTACTTCTCATCACGCCTCTAGATATTTTTGGGGAATTCAAAATTTAAGTGAAAGATATAGAACCTTTCATTTCAGAACTTGCATATTGAAAGAAAAGTGTTTGAAATCACCCAAACAACATTTCATAATGTGAATAATGAAGATGTCAACCATTTCATCTTTCTCGAGAAGTAACTAATGGATATTTTGTTCACTTACTGAAGTAAACTGGAGTAGGTTTCAAAACTTTTTTTCAATCACGATATTTATTTTTTATTCGTAACATTCCAAAACGAGTATATAACTACTTATTCTTGAGAAAGTTGGATAGACATTCGAAATATATATTGAAGGTATCACAAGATTCCATTTCGTACTAAAAAGCGTTTAACACCCTTTCGGCGACAAGTGATTTCTCACGAAAAGTGCTGAAAACGAAGGATTTTCACACATGAGTAGTGAAAAGTTAATACATTTCCACTTTCGTAATTTATAGTACCATTTTTAAGTAATTTGACTGATGATAGTATTTTGAGTACATAAGCACTCTGTTGTTTCAGCCCACCTTATATTTCAGGGATACTACTTTTCTCTAGAAGGTATTTAGGCGTCATTGTCAAGTCGAAAATGATAGAAACCTACAATCCTACATTTATCCCACCGAGACCGTCCGGTTGTTTGCATATTACATAATCATTCAATTGATCTCCACAAACTTTATTTGAAAAATATATCACAACATGTTTCGCTAAGACATTAGCTTTTTCAAGTGATTTGTACATCAAATTATCCTTACATTACTATCCTTCATATACTACACGTAACCATAATTGAGACTACCTCTAAGAAATTACCTGAACCTCTACATAACGTACCTGTTCAATTATGATTACATATTGCATATTGCTCACATCTACATCAATAATAATTCTTTCTCGGTTTTTAAGTTTAAGCAGCTTATAATAGCAGCTTATTATAAGCAGCTTATTCACAGATTAGTCAATGTTCCTCTTTCGATAGGTAATTTCGATAAAGAACTTAATATAGTCAAGCAAATTGCGGTAAACAATGGGTTTAAAGCCGAATTAATAAACAAAATAATTGCCAAGAGAGTCTACACAAAAGCGATTCGAGACGTTTTTCCCATTGATAAGGTAGATAATCAAAATTATAGAGTTTTAACGTATTTTGGACAACCAATGGAAAAAGTGGCTTCATTTTTGAGGAATCGAGATATTAAAATTGCATATAGAACAAGAAATACGTTGGGAAAGTTAGTCTCATTTATTGATAACAAAACACACAACATGTAGAAATCATAGTAAATGTTCAATATGTCTACCTTCAGACATTACGCATGCATCTATACGTCGGTGCATTAAGCCACGTATTCGCTCAAATATTCCTGGAGTCTCTCTGATTACCCTGCACGCATCGATAATGCGGTTTCTTAATTCATCTACATCGCGAACAGGAGTACGATAAACCAAATACTGCAAGTGGCCCCAAATAGAGAAATCGAGAGGATTGAGATCCGGGAATCGAGCGGGCCAGTTCTGTGGTCCTCCTCGACCTATCCACTTATTTGCATTTGTTTCAGTTAAATGCTGACGTGCTACTTGACTAGAATGGGCGGGAGCCCCATGATGCATAAAAAACATATCCCTTCTGACGCCCAAAGGAACTTCCTCCAGCTGTACTGGATGCACTTCTCTTAAAAATTGAACATATGCCTCACCATTTAATCGAAGAGGTAGAAAATGAGGCCCAATTGAATCATCCCCAATGACTCCGAGCCACACGTTAAGAGAAAACTGTTCTTGATGATTAGTTTCGACAATAGCGTGAGGGTTTTCATCAGCCCATATGTGGTAATTATGA